TGCCTTTTTTCTTCTCTCTGGAGATCTCCTTCCCTCGGAATGTGTGCCCTTGATTTGTGCATGTTGACATCCTTCCTTTCTACCAAGACCCTTTAGGCCTAGAGGGTCTTGCTGGTTACTCTCCTCGGAGATCTCATGACATGTTGTATAGGAGAACTCGAGAGCAGGGACCTCTCTAGACATCATTGCATCCCTCCTGTGCTCTCCAGCACCTCCCATTTATTTTGTACTCATTAAGTATGTATGGGTATAAGACCAATGAATCATTATCTTGTAACGCAGGTCTCACCCTCTGCCCTTGGCTTGCAGGGTCTTGGTGGGGGTAGACAGTATATGAACCCTACTTCTATTACCTGGCCACTGCCCCAGGTAAGATGCACCGGTCCCTATATCTGAGGGCTGTCAGCTCCCTCCTCTACACCATCTCATGACTTAGACCACCCCCAGGAGAGAGCAGCCTGGGCTAAATGCAGGAAGCTTCAGGCCTCCACTGATGAGAGCAAGACTCTGTGTGTGTGAAGGCTGGGAGAGCGTGTTAGAAGACATACACACACATATAAATACACAGGGTCTTAAAATTTGAACACATTCACTTTGAAACATGGACTTGGCCATCGCTGAGATCTCTGTGGGTCAGGGCTAGAACTCCTAGTTTGGAAAGAAAAGGCCAGAGGCAAGCTGATGTGTTGGCGTGTTCAGAGATGATTCCTGTTAATCTGAATTCTGCTTCTCTTAGAACACTTTTTTCCTGGCACTTGGTCATGACACCTTCTTTTTGCTCCACTTAAACTCCCCGTTCTCCACTTCCTCCATCCCTGGGGGCGGTGTTCAGTGGTTACACGGAAAGGAAGGGTCTTTGATGAAGCGTCTCTGTACAGTGGCTCTGAAGGGCTCAAGGAATCCTTGTCTCCCTTTCATGACATGGACTCAGCCTCCAGAGGCCTTCGGTCACTTCCAAGCCCTTGCATAGCCTGCTGCCTGGACGGTGAGATACCATTGGTAGAAATGGACATTCTAAATCCAGGCATTTAAACTGTAATCCTACTAAATAATTTGTTTCCTGTTTTATATTGTTTGCTTAGAAGAGGGGGTGGAAAAATGCAAAACTGTTTTCCAGTGCATTTCCTTCCTTCCACCCCCAAACCTACTAAAGATACAGCATGCTTCTTTGCACGCTGATGGTAGGGTTATTCCTAAGTGTTACTTTTTTACGTACCTAATTACTTTCCCAGTAGGAATGGCATCTAATACTTTCTAACACTACAGTGCTAGCAAATGCTGGGCCCAGAGAAGATGCGTACTGAATTTGTTGATTGCCTGCTGATTTTGTACCCTGATTCTGAGCTGTACAGGAATATGGCCAGATATTGTCTACATGGGGAGATGACCGCCTCCATTTTCCCTTCCCTTTTCTATTTTTTTAATGTGCTGAAATCCAGCTTCATCCTTAAAACTAAAACTAGCATTGATTTTTTTAAACTTACCTATTTATTTACTTATTTTTTTTTTTAAGACAGGGTTTTGCTCTGTCGTTTAGGCTGGAGCACAGTGGTGGGATCATAGCTCACTGCAGCCTCAACCTCTTGGATTCAAGAGATCCTCCCATGTCAGCCTCCTGAGTAGCTAGGACAACATGCACACTACCATGCCTGGCTAATGTTTACTTTTTGTAGATATGGGGTTTTACTATGTTGCCCCAGGCTGGTCATGAACTCCTGAGCTCAAACGATCCTCCTACCTCAGCCTCCCAAAGTGTTGGGATTATAGGCATGAACCACCGCACCTGACCCTTTTTTTTTTTTTTTGGCTGTGCTAACTGTTCCCAATGCTGCATGTGTACTATTTGTCATGGCTATAGTAATATTCATGATTACTACTACTCATGTGTAATTAAGATATAACTGGGATAGTACAATGAACCAGGCATTGCATGAAGGGCTTTGTATGTATTTTCTTATCTAATGAGTGGCATTCAGAACATACTTAATTGACTTAAGGAAGACTTGCTCACAAGTGGTTCACAAGCTGTGGGTTTCAGGGAAGCCATTTCTGCTGTCTCAGACTCAGTTTCCCCCTCTGCAAAATAGGGAGCTGGATGCCTGCCTCTCCAGGTTCTTTCCTTTTTCATCACTGGTTTAACTCAATTCACTTGTGTTTAGGGAGTCCTTGCTGTGTACTCTGCACAGATTTGTTGCTTAGAGAATATAAAACAAATACAGTTCAGTCCCTGTGTCAAAGCTTGTACCATCTAGTATAATGACAGGAAGCCAGGGGTATCCGAGGGGTAGAGAACAGGGAAGTCAATTATATCAGGCGAAAGTGGGGAGATTCCTGAGAGTCGATTCTAATTAGAAGCTTCCTGAAGGAGGAGAGATTTCCGTTCAGGGTAAAGGAGGCAGTTGATGGCGTGGGAGTACAGAAGCACCTCTTGACAGAACTGGTGGACAAAACAAGCTATTCAGCAGTGAACCAGAACAGGGCTGCGTTCAGGACCAACTCACCTGACATTTTGCCCTATGCTAAATGTAAACTGGTCACCATATCGATACTGCTGCAAGATAAACTGGAGAATCTCAACTACATCATAAAAGTATGTGGATCTCAGAAGAGTGAAGCATTTGGATATTTGAGATGAGTCCCCAGATTAAAACTGCTTATTTTGGCGCCCCCATATGCTGAGTCTCTCGGCCTCAGGGGAACCTCCAGTGTGGGGAT